ATACAACAGTACTTTGCACAGAGTGAGGTGGATAGAAGACCAGAAAGGTTTTATCTCAATGCATCTCTAGAAAACATGTGCATGGTTGGCGTCAGCAGTGCCACATTGACTCCAACACATTTATTGGGCGGGCACTGGTTTACTTTTAATAGATGGCATGAAAAAGAATCAAATAAAAATAATTTTCCAGTTGAATTTCCTCCATTTTAGTGAATTTGTTGAACTCTGAGTCCTCTCACAGATTTTATACCATTCTTCATTTGAAATTGTGACCATTGTTTCTTTTTCCCACTTTTCTTTGACATACAGAGTTGTATTATTTTTTTACATGACATTAGGCTAATATACAGCTTTGAGATAATTCTTCGAGTTTTATGTTGATATGCACCACACACTGTCTCCAGAAACGCATTAGGATCACTTCCATCTGTCTTTATTATAAAATTCTTTTAGTTGTAGGTGTTAAAAGAACTCTCCATTATCAAGTCCAAAATTTGTCCTTATATGTATATATATATAGAAAACTTATTTCCCTGTTACTAATTAAATTACAAAAAGCTGTAAGCCCTCTATTGATCCAATATTTAAACGTTTCTGGCTTGAAGTCTTTGTCATGGGCTAACCTTCTTAATATTCTTCTTTCCTTCTTCAGCTTTAATTGTCTTGCTACATTATTTCAAATTTCAACTGTGAATTGAGTTATTGGGTCAAGAAACACTATTAAATCAGTTGGTATAGTGTGCTCTCCCATGAGTGTCTGAATACTATATCCAGGGATGCATGTCTCAATCTCTTTCCATCTGGAAAATATCCAGGATCACACCAGCAACACAAGTAATGCAGTTGAGCTGCATAGAAATACATTTTTAGATTAGGAAGGGCCATGCCCCCCCTTGTCTTTTTGCAACTGCAGTGATGAATACGTAACTCTGGCCCCTCCCTCCATCCCAAAAAAACCTCACTAACCGCTTATCCCAGCTTATAATTGCTTTGACGGTAAAAAGCATTTCTGGAAATGCTTTTTCATTTTCAAATTTTACATTTCAAATTTAATTTTGGTATATATTTGCTGGGATACATTTTGAAAAATAAATCTCAAATGTCTTTTTCTTTTTCATTTTAATTAAGTAAAAGGATGAACAGTCTTGAAGAAGAAAATTAAAATGCAAAAAGGATTATTGATTACTAATTTCATTTATGAATTAAACAATGCAGCCACATTCTTAAAATGAAAAAGCATTTCTGAAAATGCTTTTTCATTTGAAATATGGTAATGATTTGCTTCCATACAAACTGTTCAGGACGTCAAAGTGGACTCAGGTTGCTGGTGGAGCTGGTCGGCCGTCATCTGCTGGTCGGAGCTTGAAGCTTTCTTTCTGAAATGGGTTGTTGTATGATCACTTTATTCTCGTAATATTACAACTTTTTTCTCAAAATGTTACAACTTTATTCTCAAAATAAATAAAAAATCTCTAGCCCGGCCCTAATACTACCTGGATGATGCTTAAGAAGCACCTTGCTGCAATTCTTCTGGAGACACAGGTTCTAAAGTGATTCATATCACTGAGTCCTTTTGCTTGGACAAGAACTGATTAAATTTCAGTTGCCTCTTGAAAGAGAAATGCTTAAACCAAAGAATATATTCCATATCTAAGGTTAGCTTAGCATATGATTTTGATTTTGAAAGCATTTAATTTTATGCCAAAGTAAAAAGGCCCAATACAGCAATGGCAAATCAAGCGGCTAACCTGAAAGAGACAATATTAACTATTGACTTGCATGACTTCATACAATTGTAGTAAAGAAAAATTTATAAGTTTGGCGCGGCAAGCCAAAAATAAAATTCTACAGTTGGTTGAATGTTAGCACGTTTATTGAGTGAGAAGTGCGAGATAGCGCTAATGCTGAAATTGGAACTAGCTCACTTTATTGCTAGCTCTTGCTAATGCTATCATTGCTAGCTCACGCTAATGCTAACAATGGAGCTAGCTCTTGCCAATGCTATCATTGCTAGCTCGCGCTAATGCTACTATTAGTGCGAGCTAGCGACAATGCTAACGTTGCAAACATTGTCTGGCTGATTTTAATGGCACTTTATATCAATTTAGAGCTTATCTCTGAATCTCTGTGCTTCTCCTTATGAGATGTCCATGCCTTATTTCTTAAATTTTCTTAACAGGTCCTCGGTTGAAAGGCCTGCTAACACCATACTGCTTTCCTTAACAAACTTGTTGCTCGTAGCGACACCTTCGCTATGAGCAACTCCTTCAAATCCAAATAATTTATAGTAACTTACATTATGTGTATGATCAGACCATCTAATGGGCAAAGTTAAAAAATGTTTAAGCTGCTTTTTTATAACCTAAATTATTTATTTGTCCTAAATCAAAATGATCACAGAACTACATCCAAGTTTTTGAGAGCTTTCTTTACCAATACTTTATTATCCTTTATAAAGCTTTAAAGAATCTTTTTAGTAAAACTTTTTGAACCCACCGCCCCCCCCCCCCCCCCCCCCCTATTTGCAGCAGAACCAAACTGCTGCAAATAGACCTGCAAAAGGTCTATTTGCAGCAGTTTGGTTCTGCAAGGATCTGACTTATCCGTGATGGTTCTGGAGATCTGGTTCCCCTGGGGCCCGCATCTCCACTGTGGGCCACAGTGGGCCCCAGCTTTGAGCGCAGGAGCAGAAGCAGGCTGGATCAGAAGAGGGAGAAAGAGAGAAAGAGGACAATAGGATTTCCTGAAAGCACGCACATGCACGCTCACGACGCTACGGAAGCCGGCAGACCAAACCAGCGCATTCAGCTCGGCAAAGAACTCATGCTCTTCCTCAACACTGAAGTCCTCAGACATTTTTCTTTCGTTGTTTCTTTCTTTGCACAGGTAAACAGCACATTTCTTCTTCTACGCTTGCATTATTGGCAGAGCAGAAGCTGAATGCGCACTTTCATCTGGTTTGGTCTGCCGGCTTCCGTAGCGTCGTGAGCGCGCATGTGCTCGCTTTCAGGAAATCCTATACACTACTGTTTATGCTCTAAAAACATTCTAAATGACTTCGTTTCCAGTAAATTCTGGATGCTACCCACTCAGGACACTTGGAATACATTGGACGAGCAGTATGGTGGAATATTGACACGTTTTTTGTGGACTTGTATGGACCTTTCTGTCTCGGTCACCATAGACCTCCATTATTTGAATGTCAGCAGACAGCAAGAAGCCTCCCAGATCTCCAGATGCATTTGAGATATCAAAAAAGTACTCCAGAGTGTTGTTCAGCATGGGGGTGAGTAGAAAATGAAGGCTAATCATGTTTTGGGTGTACTATTCCTTTAACTACCTAAATGATGCATGCAGTATATATAGCCCTTCCTTGTTATGCACATCATTGGCATATGTTGTAATTTCTATTTCTTCACGTTGTAAAATCCTTGCACCAAACTAAATTTTTATAAAACTAAAAGGGTTTCTTTAAACCAAACTATGATGTTCCTCTTATATTTGGCGAATTTCTGTTTGTATATTTTGCAGAAATATGTAATGGGGTTTTGCATCTGTTTCGTTTCATTGCCGTGAACGCTGACACACTGCTCAGCTTTCATGTTTTCATTCTTGAAGAACTGCCTGGCTCCCTCTATATCGTATTTTTTACGTTGGTTTTTTTTACAACACTTTTAACCTTCTCCAGAAGCACCATAGAGAGCGTTCTGAGCAGCTGTCTCACTGTGTGGTGTGGAGGCTGCAACGCCTCAGACTGGAAGAAGGTGAGAACAGCAGAGAGGATCATGGGGGCTCCTCTTCCCTCCATTAAAGACATTTCATCCCAGCGCTGCATGTCCCGTAACATCATCAATGACCCCTCACCCCCCCACCATGGACTGTTCTCCCTGCTGCCCTCTGGGAAGAGACTTCAAACCATCCGATGCAGGTCCAGCAGATTCCAGAAGAGTTTCTGCCCCACTGCCATTAGACTGCTGAATGTCGTGTAAAATGGGTTATAAAAAATATAAAAAACCCTGAATGTTGGAACTGTAACTGTACAGTTATATGTTTACATCACTTTTTTCATGACAGTGTTTTTATCACTGCTGCTATCAAGGCTGCATTTAAAAAAAAGAGAAAGTCTAGAGAGCTGTACTTAACAAAATTTATTTTTCTATACATTTGTGTGTTCAAAATAACATCTGTCCAAGTCACATTTATCAGCCATCCCATTCCCTTTGATTCCAAGAAGGAATCCATATAAAATAAACTATTAATCCCATTAATTCTGGAAAACTGATGAATTCCTAATTAGATATCAGGTCTGCTGTCTAGATGATTGTATTTAAATGAATATAACGATGAACTAGAATCAGGGCAAACTAAACTTCTGACTGGATGGATTTCTACAATCTATTCTAACGTCAATATAATCACAAACATTTCTCCTCTGTTCACTAAAACTCCATCACTGACTCTTTGACCTGATTTAAAATTAAATTCTGGAACTACAAAACAAACTCTTTTCCTGTTATTGAATCTTTTGAAGCATCAAATATCAATAATATAAACATATACATAATATAATGATATAAACATATATATAAATAGATATCCATAATATTTATTATCTGAATATTGCTGCAGCATAACTGAATCAGAAATATCCTCCTTGTTTTTCCGTTTAAACAGCAAAGTTAGATCCACATCTATAAGATGATCCTCTGATTTTTCAAAATAAAATCGAGGGTGACCCGGATGTAGATGGTGGCGCGCATGCGCAATGAGCTGCTGGTAGGGATCGGGTAGCATTACCAGCGTTAGCTTAGCTTGTGTGTGGAGTCATTGTAGAGAGGCTGATAATCTGGGAGTGTTTGCAGTGAGAATGTCTTCAGTCCAGCTTCAAGGAGAGTTTATCACCGAGCAGTTAACTCCTGCTGAAGAAACATTCACGGAGTTTAAAGGGAGTTTGGTCAATTCGGAGGAAAAGATGGACGATCAACATCTACTGCTGGATTTCAGCAGGATCCCCCAGATCATCTTACACCGGATAGGTAGGAAACACCTGATAGAAACGATTCCCTGATGATGCACACTGTGGATTTTAGCCTCATCTGATTGGAAAACTGCTTAAAACGTGCTAAGCTAAAGCTAACTTCCGGTTGATAGTGAGTTCACGATGTTGTGCTTAAAAATCTGTGGTGAAGTTAGTTTCAAGCTGGATATTCGATATTCGCGCTCCGTGGGCCAAGCAGTGTTTAGCTCGCGGCTAATCCGATTTATGTTCGCTAATGTCGGCCAGCAGTTCACCACCGCTCCCTTCCCAAGCGCTCGGTGCTTCACTTAGGGACCGTCAACAAATTCCCGAACCAAACAGTGCTGACATAAAAATATTAATAAATGTCTTTCCTTGTGACCAACTCACATATAAAGTGCTAATTCATGCTTTTACATTAGATAAATTACATTTTATTGAATTTTAAAGCTATAAATAATATTTAAACAATTTAAATTTTAAATAATATAATCTTTTCTTCAATAGCTCCCAGGTCATGTGACCTGTTGACCCAAAATCAGTGTGAAATTGTTCTACTAGTCTCTGTAAATGAGGTACACTCATTTGATTTTCATTTTAACCATTTTTTTTATTTTTTTTTTATTGAAATGTGGGACTTAGATTCCAAGTTATGTCACCTATGCATTTGCAGCTAGTTGCAGCTTTGGCTATCTTGCCTCTTTTAAAGTATTTTGCTGGTCTGAATCTCTGTTCTTTTTTATGGTGTGTCACTAAACCAAGACGTTTTACAGTAAAATAGATTTCCCTGTCATCTGATTTTGGGATGTTTTTTTTCTAAAAGTATAAATTGCATTGCATCCATTAAAAGTGCATTTCGCACGAGCAAAAAAAAAAAGGACACATTTTTTAATGGCTGCTGCTGAGATTCATATGCTGATATTTAAAAGAAAGTGTACAACGTGGATTTATTTTGTTGAATTGATCATATGATATATCAGTCCAAGGGTGACGTAATTGACTGGCGATCTTTGGGTTTGATTTTTTTCCCACTCTTTCCTTGTTATCTTTATTTTATTTTGCATTGTCTGTAGTCACTTTTGCTGTGTTTATGTTGTTCTTTTCTGTCCATTGTCTTTTTTGGATTTCTCTGACATTTAGCATCATTTTAATCATGTGTTATTTCCTTGTTTTTGTCCTCTGCTTTGTCCTCTGTTCTTTCCTGTGTTCTCGTCATTTTGGTCCTCAGTCCTTTTGTCATTTGGTTCTCTTCTCTTTCCTCATTTTGGTCCTCTGCTCTTTCCTCATTTTGGTCCTCTTCCCTTTCCTCATTTTGGTCCTCTTCCCTTTCCTCATTTTGGTCCTCTTCCCTTTCCTCATTTTGGTCCTCAGTCCTTTTGTCATTTGGGTCTTCAGTCCTTTCCTCATTTTGGTCCTCAGTCCTTTTGTCATTTGGGTCTTCAGTCCTTTCCTCATTTTGGTCCTCAGTCCTTTTGTCATTTGGTTCTCTTCTCTTTCCTCATTTTGGTCCTCTGCTCTTTCCTCATTTTGGTCCACTGCTCTTTCCTCATTTTGGTCCTCTTCCCTTTCCTCATTTTGGTCCTCTTCCCTTTCCTCATTTTGGTCCTCTTCCCTTTCCTCATTTTGGTCCTCAGTCCTTTTGTCATTTGGGTCTTCAGTCCTTTCCTCATTTTGGTCCTCAGTCCTTTTGTCATTTGGGTCTTCAGTCCTTTCCTCATTTTGGTCCTCAGTCCTTTTGTCATTTGGGTCTTCAGTCCTTTCCTCATTTTGGTCCTCTTCCCTTTCCTCATTTTGGTCCTCAGTCCTTTTGTCATTTGGGTCTTCAGTCCTTTCCTCATTTTGGTCCTCAGTCCTTTTGTCATTTGGGTCTTCAGTCCTTTCCTCATTTTGGTCCTCTTCTCTTTCCTCATTTTGGTCCTCTGCTCTTTCCTCATTTTGGTCCTCTGCTCTTTCCTCATTTTGGTCCTCTTCTCTTTCCTCATTTTGGTCCTCTGCTCTTTCCTCATTTTGGTCCTCTGCTCTTTCCTCATTTTGGTCCTCTTCTCTTTCCTCATTTTAGTCCTCTGCTCTTTCCTCATTTGGTCCTCTGCTCTTTCCTCATTTTGGTCCTCTGCTCTTTCCTCATTTTGGTCCTCTGCTCTTTCCTCATTTTGGTCCTCTGCTCTTTCCTCATTTTGGTCCTCTGCTCTTTCCTCATTTTGGTCCTCTGCTCTTCCCTCATTTTGGTCCTCTGCTCTTTCCTCATTTTGGTCCTCTGCTCTTTCCTCATTTTGGTCCTCTGCTCTTTCCTCATTTTGGTCCTCTGCTCTTTCCTCATTTTGGTCCTCTTCTCTTTCCTCATTTTGGTCCTCTTCTCTTTCCTCATTTTGGTCCTCTGCTCTTTCCTCATTTTGGTCCTCTGCTCTTTCCTCATTTTGGTCCTCTGCTCTTTCCTCATTTTGATCCTCTGCTCTTTCCTCATTTTGGTCCTCTGCTCTTTCCTCATTTTGGTCCTCTGCTCTTTCCTCATTTTGGTCCCCTGTTCTTTCCTTATTTTGGTCCTCTGCTCTTTCCTCATTTTGGTCCTCTGCTCTTTCCTCATTTTGGTCCTCTGCTCTTTCCTCATTTTGGTCCTCTGCTCTTTCCTCATTTTGGTCCTCTGCTCTTTCCTCATTTTGGTCCTCTGCTCTTTCCTCATTTTGGTCCTCTGCTCTTTCCTCATTTTGGTCCCCTGTTCTTTCCTTATTTTGGTCCTCTGCTCTTTCCCCATTTTGATCCTCTATCCTTTACTCTGTTATGTCCTCATTTTCATCCTCATATCCTGTTTGCTGTCCTGCCTGTGGTTGTTTTACATAGAATTCACGTTTATCCATTGACTGTTCCCTGTCCTTCATGGTATTTTGTTCTGTGTAGTCAGCAGAGTGTTCTTTTCGTGTAAAAATAAAGATATAAATAAAAAAATTAAATAAATAAAGAGACCCTTATTGGTAGAATAACAATAGGTTCCCACTATGCTTTGCATAGGGCAGGCACCAATAAATAAATAGAACTAAGACAATTATTGCTTATTTAATTTTCAGTTAAACTGCTCTCCATATTTGGGGCACATTAGATATCAAAAAATAAGCTCCCTCGTTGTCTCCTCTCACACCTGCTCCTTGTCAGCTCGTTAGTCCTCCCTTTGTCTCACTCAGCTATATATGCTCTCCCTCTGCTCTCACTCTTTGTTGGTTCCTTGTCTTTGCTGTCCTCCCATGCTGTTGTCCACCTACCTCGTCTCTCCCTGGCTCATCGTGTTTTTTTTCCCCAGATGACTCCATAGTTCTGGTTTGCTTTTCATTATTAGTTGGATTTTTGGATTCCTGCCTTTGTTTACTGTTTTTGCCCCATTAAACTGCAAGAAATCTCCTCAGCCTCTCCGCCTCTGCATATGGGTCCCCAAACCATAACTAAACCCTGACACTAAAATAAACTGTACCTGCATGAAGTACCCTTGTCCGTACTCCTTGGCGATCTGAATACCAAATGACCTTCAACCACTTTCAATATTTTTTATTATTGGTTTGAAAAAGATAAAGAACCAGCGAGAACCATTGTTCATACGTTGGAACTGCCTCCGTAAAGCCTAAAGAAATGAAACCCTTCGTAATGGCATCAATGCCTCCTGCTGTTTGCCAAAGATTTTTATTTTTATCGCTTTGCCCTTTCCTGAAACGGCCCATTTTAACAAGAGCTAGCTGAAGAGCTTAATCTGAGAAGGACTTCGCTGCAGCAAACAGAATAGGTCAGTGACAGACCACCGTCAGTCTCATACCTTATATGGAAATGGGACAATTGCACTGAAGGTGGTGCTGTTGTCTATATTATCCACAGACTCACGATTTTTTATTTATTTTTTAATCTGTGTCGTATGTTCACTGTTTGGGCGAAGTTTCAATCTCAGCATGTATTTTAACTTCTCTCTTATGTACTTCAGCGCAGTACATAACATGCAACTTTTGTAAAATCAAATGAACATGGCGCGGAAGCACCACTGTTATGATGCAGCACCTGAAAAGAAAACACGTTGGAGTCTTCGATGGCAGTGAAGAGAGCTGATCAGTAGGATGAGTAACCATGTTTGTTTCGTTTTAAAGTGGGGAAACGTAACGTTAGTTTCTCAGGTAGCTCATCTGATGCTTTCCTTACCTTGTTAGTAGGTTACAGACAGTGATAAGGTTGGCTACTTATTTTACTTTTAATTTCATTTGAATTAGCTTAAGCAGCGTTTATATTTACTTTATAAATAAATTAACTTGCAAATTATGAGGGCAAGGCTTTTAAAGTTTAAATCTTCCGGCAAAGATAAAGTAAAGAAGATCCTGCAATTTATGGAAGTAAAGCAGAATACAATCCAGCAAGATCAGTAATATGTCAATTAATTATCTGCCACATTCCCATGTAAATATCTGTCTTTGGAGGATGTGTTTTTTAGCACCCCTAGTTCTCTCATTTTTATTCCAAATACAATTTATAATTTGAATCACAGGCTATTTTTATCTCTATGGTTAAGTATTTTCTCAAGCAGCAATTTTAACTGCTATACTTTCCTGTCTTAAAAGGCAGAACTCTTCTAGTCTAAAAAAAACTCAGTTGTTGAAATGGGGGGACCTATTGTTTGAGCCCCTTAGGAGCTTTAAAAAAACAAAAATGTCTTTTTTTGCACTTTATGAAACAAAGTAGCCTATATTTTGTGGATGTACAGCTACATTTCTCATGTAAGTTTGCGTAGTTTTAACAAACATTTATTTTTCATATTGCACCAGTACAGTTAATGAGCAACCTGTACTTGTGTGCTTGTTTGTTCTGTCTAAAATAGAGATGTCCCAATCCAGGTTTTTGCACTTCCGATCTGATACCGATACTGGCCGATACCAGCCTATCCGAGCATGTATTTAAGTTTAAGTTAAAGTATTTAGCCTTAGTTGTAAGACTCATGTTGAAAAGGGTTTTAGTACTCTTGATAACATCTAGCCAGCTGAATTAGGTGGGGTTGAATAA